CGCAAGCGGTGGATTTCCACTTAGTCCCAGTGCTCAACCAGTGTCTATTTAATAGAGTGTAATGTTGTTTTGGAGGGTAAAAAGTGCAGGGGACTAAAATTGACTTTGGAAAAATTGGGGGGGGGGGGGGGGGGGGGGGGTCATGTCTCCCCTGCCTTTCCCCCAAAAAAATATGTCTATGGCTCCAGGGCAGCTGTGGCTAGATTGTAGCTCATCACCATTACTGCTTGAATGTGTGTGTGAATGGGTGAATAATACACTGTAGTGTAAAATAATTTGGAGTTGTCTGACTGAATGGCGCTACACAAGTGCAGGTCATTTATCGTTTGTCATGAAAAACAAGAGGCCTGTGTGACACGGGCCTTTAAAGTCATTACGTGAAGTTCGGGTTGGAAAGCAAAGCTGTAATATGAGCAGTTTATCCAAACAGCTACGGGCGAGCAGAGAGTGCTTCTTCCCTCTAAACGACTCAGTTTGTTTGTTTGTTTTCTGTTGGAATTGTTGCTTAGACAGTAAACCAGAACGCGTCTCAAAAGCATGCACAGGTCCCTCGTGGAGTCGGAGGAAACGGAAAGACGCTGACACGAACTGACGTGGAGACGTTTGTGGTACGAAGCCGCTTCATTATGAGGATAGCAATTTGAGGATGCGGAGGGGCTTTGTTTCCTTCTTCCAGCTGGAATCATCCGCAGATTTTTCCAGGAAAAATCACAGAAGCCTCAAACTGTTAATATTATGCACAAGGAATACCCATGTGCTTCAATCAAAACAGAGTTTGCAACTCAGCAAAATGAGACCCGTTTTATAGATTTTGGCAAGAATTAGACTTTTGTATATTTTTGAGCAGAGAAACAAGCAACTGTGACGTGAAGCTAGAGTCAGGCCTCCCTAGTTTAGAGGCTGCAGTTTCATTATTCCTTCTTTACCCACCTGGAAAAGCATGCTAACTACATGGATACACCAACCATGGAAAGCTCCCTCTGTTTATTAGTAACACCAGCATATCGTGTGTTTGCAACAATTCAAGAGCTGCCTATATACTTATGAATCAGCGAAAACGTCAGACTTTAGTGACTTAAGCAGGCAAGAGACGATTTCCACGCACTGGGAGAAGATTTCTGGATGAAGGAACCACTCCATCCATGTTACTTCCTCTAAGGCCTAGTCCACACGTAGCCGGGTTTTTTTTTTAAAACGAAATCCGCCCCTCCAAAAACGTGCATCCACACCACCGCGTTTTAAAAAAAACTCTGTCCACACGTACCCGGATAAATACGTTGTTAAGGACATGCCAGACCTGTAGGCGGCAGTACTTCCCCCGTTCTTAACCTCGTCCTTCGTCTGTGGTCTTCCGCAAGGAGCAGTAATTCCGCTTGCAAAAACAAACAAGCAAAAAGCGCTTGGACAATTGATAAAGCGAGCGCAGCTCTGAGGGCATCCATGCTGTCGGCTAGTGTAAACACAGGTCGCACACGTGATGTCAGCATTTTTTTTGTCGCAGAAAGTGACGTTGCGGACCTTAAAACTCCGGTTTTGTCTGTCCACACGCAGACACCCAAAACGGAGAAAACGCAGATCTTCACTTTGGCCGGAGTTTTTAAAAAGATCCGTTTTCGTGTGAAAAAACTCAGTTTTCGTGTGGACGACAGGCCAAAACGTAGAAAAATATCTAAGTTTTGGCAGATCCCCGGCTACGTGTGGACAGGGCCTGAGTCATGCTACAGGTATGAGTCTGCAGGCTGATCTGATCTCATTCTCTTCTATTGTTGCAAAACAGGCAAAACAATTCTAAAACACCACGCTCAACACAATAATTACATTTAGGACCTCGGGGCCGGTACAAACCACCAGAGCGGGCTCCTCTCAGTGTTTGGAACCATGTCAGACCTTTAAACCTGAGCCTGTTTTATCGTGTGCTGTTGTCTAGAGCGCAAGCAATCACTGGCTAAACGGATTAGCTGCAGATGAAGAAAATTTCTGTTCCACGAGCCCGGAGGGAAAAGCTAGACAAATGAAAACGACATTACATTCGAGGGGCCGATAAAGTCTACCAACATTTGTTAAAATGTGTATATTAGTCATAAGTTGGACAAGTTGTGGAAATTAAGAGATGTATGAGATATCAGGAAAAAATTAGTCATGTGTTGACTTGTAATCTCTTACCCAGAAAATGCTGCTTCTAGTCTCTGAGTGGGGAGTAAAGTCTCTAAAACCTCCCCTACACACGTATCACACGTATCACAATATGAGCTCATCAGAGAAAAGTCATGACTTCATCACCTTTGAGCCAAGCTTCTTCATCGCTGCTCACTAAACCAAAACCGCTGACAGCAGGAGGTCTCCACACTGTGTACGATCAAGCTCCACACAAGGCAAATCAGCCACCGTTAAAAATTTATTGTTTTTAGGCATACAAATGTCATGCATATTTACAACATATACAAACGTTTCATAAACAAAACAACGTTTTGACACATTCAAAAATGGCCTGCAAAACATAACAGTTTGGTTTAATTTGGAGTTAAATGACAAACTGTGACAGGACCAAGAAAACACACAACACATTAAAAAAAATCACAGAAGCACATGAGGTAGTCAAGTGGTAAAAAATAATAACTAATCACAAAACAATACAATCAATAGTTAGAGCTATGGATTATTTGATCCAGCTCTGACCAGCCTTTCCGGTGACATTTAGTGGAAGCTTTTTCTTTATTGTGGCACAGCATTATTTCATACTGATAAACAGCATGCCTTTATATACAAAGCTAGCACTAACCATTAGGTGGCAAAACAGCTCCTGTGTATGAACTGTACGGTGGCTCAGAAGGTTCAAATAAAAGGAAAACAGAAATGATAGCAAAACAGATGCAAACAGCTCAAATAGAATGATGGAAAATAGAAGTTGGGATAAACCAGAATTTACTTTCATTAAGCTAATACCTTAATTGCACTAATTATGCTATTTTATTTCATTATTGTCTTTTGCTTCCATTTTATTTCATTCCTTGCAGCTTGTGTCATTGTGTTGTGGCTTTTTTTTAAACCTTCAGGGCCACCATAAACTGGGTCAAGAGGAAGGAAAAATAACTTTGAATACATGTATTTTATTAAAAATAAATTTCAACAAAATATTTGGAGGGAAAAATACATTTAAAGACATATTAGTCATTATATAAAAACATCGACTGTATTTCATGAACAGAGGATCTGATTTAAAATGTGTTGCTTATTAAACTAAATACACTCCCAACTTGTTTTAGGACACGTGAATGGGTTCTGAAAACAATCAGTTATTTTTATTTAGTTATTTGTTTTATCAAGAAAAATATGCTTCTACAAATTTTATGTTAAGTGTCTTTAAAACGTGATGTGAGTCTTATTCTGCAGTTTCCAAAAAGATGTTTGGTGTTTTATCAAATCCATATTTCACAGTCCTCACGCACGCACACGCACGCACGCACGCACGCACGCACGCACGCACGCACACACACACACACACACACACACACACACACACACACACACACGCAACAAAACCAATATATTTCTCTTGTAATTATATTCCAAAATATAATTTTATACACAAATATATCTATTTATACTGTCTGTAGAAAGCTTTATACAAGTACATATACATAAAGAGTCCAGAAATGAGATCACAAACATTCAATCTTATTTTTGCTGCTTTATGTGAAGAAACAGATCACCCCCCCACTTCCCACACACACACACACACACACACACACACACACACACACACACACACACACACACGCACACACACGTACATCAGACAATCCTAAACACTTGCGCAAGAGGGAAAATCATTGTTTCGTGGTGAAAATAATGGGCTACAGCTTATTCAACACAGCGGGAAAGTGGGAGTAAGAAGATCCAACCCAGGCTCTGTTCATATCTGCTCTTCACTTGATAAAAAATGTTAAATCCAACATAAGAAAATGATCAACAATCAATCAGATTGACCTTTATAGAAAATAATGAACCCAACATGCTCACTTCTATGAAATTTGGGAGCAAATAAAGTTGATTTTCACACACACACACAAACATTTTCATTAGTTACAATATTTCTACAATAGAAATGACTTTATGTATTTTTGTTAAGACCACACAGAACAGGTTTGAGAGTGCTCTGGTGTCTGTAGGGTGGAATAAAATGCATTTACTCAATATATGGCAAATTCTTCTGGTTGGTTTTTAAGGTCTGTGGACAAGACAATGTTTTATGTTAATATTAAATTATTTTTGAGATTTCAACACTGATTGTCTCCAGCTTAGCTGAACTTAGCAACAACAAAGAGCTGCTAGCTTGAACTCTTGCTGTGGCTTTTAGTGACAAAAACTGAAATTTTACAGTTTTTGACAATCAGACTTGGATAACTGGTTAAGTTGATATCAAAGGCAAAAAAAAAAAAGATTTTGAGAGAAAATTTTTGAAACTACCACTTTTCTTTCTCTTTATTTCGCTCACCAGCTAGTGGTGTGGTGGAATATTTCAAAATCATATCAGTACATGGACGTATTTTTTTGGGGGGGGGACGGGGGGACATGTCCCCCCCACTTTTTCCAAAGTCAAGTGTTGACCCCTGCACTTTTTTACCATCCAAAAACAATATCACGCTATATTAAATTGACACTGGTTGAGCTCTAAGACCAAGCAGGAAACAGCCGTTTGCGTTGAAGCCTGTTTCCCATTAGAACATACTGCAAAGACACCCCACCCCCCCCCCACCCCCACCCACCCGTGTCCCCCCACTTCTAAAGTGAAAATTACGTCCATGTATCAGTATTTTGTGGTTAGGAGATCTTTTCCGAATCAGAAGGTAAAAATCTCAGTTTGAAGGCATTTGTAGGTGGGGCATAAACAGAAACTCCTGGCAGCAGATGAGGACTTTAATGATGAAAATTTTGTATGTGTTGTACTTTGATCCATTTCAAAAGAAAAACATTTTAAGGATAAAATGTTATTTTTATAATTGTTTTTTTTCACATTTTCTGTTCACATCTGTTGGTGTTTTATCTTCTGTTCTACATTCAACACCAGTTTCATAATCCACTGGTTCTCTTCGTCACGATGATGACTTGCGTTCATACTGCACATCTGTCTGCATTTCAATAGTGGTTGTTTGTGCTTTCCGCTACCTTCAGGGATGCACGTCCTTAAGTAATGTGTTACGGTCCAGCCATCAACACATCACCTCCTAACTGCTGCAGGCTTGGGAGTAAGCCTGCTCAGTACAAACACATCAGGCCATTTAAGGCCAAAACAAAGGCAGAGCTGTGGTTAAAAAAAACTGCATTTGGATTTGAAATGGAAACATGTCTAATATAAACTTTCATTTGTTTCTTGTATTTTTCTTTCAGACAAATTAAGAAGGTAAACCAAAGCATCACTCAGCAATGACATGTGGACAGTCCAGTGGCCCGTTCCCAGTTAGAGCACCACTGGGACCTTTTGTTTCCTAAGTTGAACTTTGAGATGTCAACAAACCAACTGGAGTGTGTTGGCTCGTCGTCGTGCTGCAGCAAGGCTGCGAGTGTCCCGTCGAGCGGCTCCCTGGGCTACGCCGTGCTGCTGCTGGAGCACGGCGTGCTCTGCGTGCTGCCGATGCTGGGGGCTGCACTGCTGTGTTCTGATACAGGCTGGGGCCTCTGGACCGGCTGTCTACCAGCTGTCCCGCCTGGACAAAGAACAGGAGAGGGAGAACGAGATTGGACCAGAGGAAGACAAAATGGATGGCATTTAGAGTTGGGAATAAAACATGAAAGAGATTCACTTTAAAACATTGTTTATCTGATCCCAGCTGTTTCACTCCTAAATGGTTATTTTAACTAAAACTTCCAATCGTCATAGTTTCGGGTAATTCTCTGATGAAGCCATTTTCCAACAAAGCAAAAAATGTATTACTCATTTTAGTCTGCATCTAATCTTGATGAATTTCTAACATTTAAGTTTGTTTGCAGCTTGTTGATCCCTGAATGTGTCCCGTCAAAGAGGACACAAAGAAAACAAAAGACGTTTCGCTGTTTTTATCTGGAGTTCATTAGTCTGCCTTGAACGCACCAAGCAGAACGAACATGTGACCTTCCTAATGTTTCATGTTTTAAAAAGGACCTCGTGCCGTAACTTTGCTCAACAAATAAAAGAGCTTAGTCTGTTTACAGAAAGCACCTCTGACAGATAATGATGAGCTTTTGAAACGAAGCCACATCTGCCTTTCATTTGAACGTTTGGCCCAGCTTCCACGGCTCTCTGCTGTGTGACATCTTTCCCAACAGCTTGGTGGAAAGAACAAATGTCCTCTTTTAAATGGAAATTTGTTTCAAATGACGTTGCTTGGGCTTTAATTTGGTTGAGTACTGGTTTGTATGAATCCATAGGTGATGCAGTACACCAGTCCCTTTTTGTAGCCCCTATAGTTCTGTTCATGTTCAGTAAAACAGAGCTGCCAGCAGATGTTCCCTCAGAGGACCCACAGGTCTGTAAAACAGAAGGATGCTCCTCATCTGTCTGAGGATGTTTTAACTCCCAAATCCAACATCATGTCTCTGGATCAGAGACAAAGGCAGCTCTAAGGTCACAGAAATATGCACGAAGCCCTTGAACACAATGTGCTGATGCAGTCTGAACGCCGTAAAGTCACAGTATTATTTATTTATTAATGTATTCATCCATTTATTCATTTGTCATGTTACCTGGCGTAGAAACTGCCCAGAGAAGGATCATTTTGGGATATTGGTCTGTTTTCCTGAGGGGAAAATAAGCTAACATTAGTTCATTATTTCTAACTGAGGTCAGAAATGATACCACAGAAAGTCTTTTCTCAAAAGCTCAAGACTTCTTAATAATCTGACAGAGCCAGCTTTTTCATTCTGTAATTTGATGCTCTAGGTGAACAGGGTAACAGGCAGAGCCGTGTCCAGGACTTTTAAAATGGGGTGGCCCATGTGGGGCACTTGTTTATGCATGGGTGGCACCAATGGTTATGCTTATTTATTTATTTACACAAATCGTTTATTTACTTCTTGTTTTTTACTTTCTAGTGAGTTTTTGAGTTTCACATTGCACAATCACCATTTTTTCCTCTTCATCTTCTAGTTTTGTGGTGGTTAGCAAGTCACTTGTTGTTGCATTACTGCCACCAACTGGAGTTGAGTGGGACTCTAAATAATATTTATGTAAATATGAAAAAATAATAAATAATATTAATACTACAGAAATGTTCTGTAAGCCTGGGCTAGTAAACAATGTTAAAGGTGCATGCTACCACACTATTTTGGAGTTTACAACCCAAGCCTTTTGTCAACAATGTAAAGTCAATTTAAACTGGAACTTGGTAGGGTGGCACTTAGAGTGGCCAATCAGATTCTATGGGTGGCATGTGCTACCCCAGGCCACTCCCTGGACACGCCCCTGGTAACAGGTCATTTCTAGAGGACTGCCTCACTACTAACATCTTGTGCCAAGAAAACAAGCAAACGTCCTAAAACATAACATCGTGTTGGCGTTTAAAACATTTACCTTTACTCATCAGAATCAGAATCAGAAAAGCTTTATTGTCAGTGCGCCAGCGTCCCGAAGCATAGAAATTTGACTCCGCAGCACAGCCTGGCCAAGATCACACACACACACACACACACACACACTGTTGGTCCATTGTTTGTGTCAGCGTTGTCTCGCCCCCTCTCTAGGTATTAGGAATTTCTCTAGGTCTCTTGTGTTTTTGGATATTCCCAGGTTTTGATTCTTGGAGTTTTGGTTTTTGGCTTCCAGCCCTTTGGATTTACCCCTAAATAAAGGCTTTTTACAATTTCACTACTCCTGCCTTGTGTCATCCTGGGTCTGCATCTTGGGTCCTAACCTCCCCCAACTCACAGCGTGACACATTTAAACTGGGATATGAACAACATTCCCTCTGGCCACCAATCACAGTAACAACACACCGTTAACTGTCCCAAAGGTTTTCTTGTTTCATAACTCTGGTTTTAGAAACTTGCTGATGTGGCATTTTTGATGCTTGTTTAGGGGCATCTGCATTCTTGGAGTTTATTACAAACGCTGCCATATAAGGCCATCTCAGTCATCCATCCAAAGGAACCAAAAGCCTGTGTTCATAACAACAGAGGCCTGTGCCTCCCGCTCCATCCAGATTCTTTCCATATCTACTATAATTACCTTTATTCTATTCAGATCTGACATCTACTATCTCTAGAAAAGCAGCCAGCTAGAAGTTATGTTCTTTGTTCCTCGGATATTCATAAAGCTGAAATAAAGTGGATTTCTAAAGAAAAGCCAAAGAAAATATTTTGGTAAAGATAAGGTCTGAACATATTATAGCTGATCTTTGCTGGAGGTCATCCTGCCCAGTAAACACTTACGGTTTAAATGTGACAAAGCAGAACTACTGTAGAAGGGTTGTAGTGCCTCAATCCTGCTGATTCATGATTGGATCTCAGGCGTGTGTGTAATTTCTCCCCCTAATAATGTCAAACAGTTTTTTTACAGCTAATCCTAACCCTCCAACTTGCTTTGTTACAAACTTCCTAACCAAGTTTCTGCAGGTTTCCTGAATTATGAAAAATAACTGAAAACAATGCTAATTTCTTTAGCCCATTTTAGAAGACACACCATACCAGCTAATCAGTGTAACAATGACACCATGGTGTGTGAAAGCACCTTGGCAGCATGGTGAAGCAGGAATTTTGCGGCATTCATACTGCCACTCTTGGTGGTGATATTGCAGCAACGCTGGACTTGTGAATGCGGATTACGCATTGGTCACGTGTGGAGTTCCAGCCGAGCTCCAGCAGGAAACTATATTAGAAGTAAATGTGGGCAAAAATTTCACTTTTTAAACAGAATCAGCTGAGATGACAAACTGGAGCGATGCAGAGCTCCGGGAGCTTCTCTCCGTTAGAGCTGAAGGTAAGGTCACCAGAAACTGCTCAGGGACTGTGGAGGACAGACACCTTTAGGAGCAGCTTGTCGAAAATATGTAACGAGTGCAGCTTTGATCACAATAAAATGCAAGTCACGGGCTACCTACATGGGTTAAACAGGCCAGCACGCTCGGCAAGCTTAAGAGCCAGCTGAAAACTCACTTTTACTCTTTAGCTTTTATTCAGGAAGAGGCCCGTTAACTGTTGGCTTTGCACTTTTTGCTGCCCCACCTAGATTTTATCTGCATGTTTTTGCTGGTTTTAAATGGTTTTATATGCTTTTATTTTTTATTTTATTTATTTATTTTTTTAATGCTTATTTCTGCTGTGCAGCGCTTTGTTTGGTCCTTCGGCCATGTGAAGGCGCTATATAAATAAAGTTTTAGTTAGTTAGTTAGTAAATATTCCTCTGAGCATTTCTTATGAAACTGCAAAATTTGAAACAAGTGAATATAAAATAAATGTGAATAAATCCCGTGTGTGTGCCAGATGCAGGGGTGCAGCCACAGTGGCTGGTAGAGAAAAATGTTTACCAGCCACATTTGTTTTTATGTGAAACATTTGCCTCGGTTACCGGCGTCCATCTCTGCTCTGAGGGAGTTTCTCTCAACTTCAGCTTTGTACTTCATAAGCACTCTGGCTGCTTCCTATTTACATCACGTTATTCCCTTTTCATCTAATCCACAATGAAGGAGAAAAACAGATTACATGATGTCATCTGATTTCAACTGTGTGGATTAAGATTGAGTTAGCTAACATGTTATGTTAATTATTATTATCTGACTAAATGTTATAACACGTAGTGATTAGGGTGGTCACGGTAACCGGTGTAGCCGTAAACCCCGGTGAAAAAGTTGACAGTAATAATAACCGTCTTGTTTTAAAAAAAACTATATTATCTCTGTGGGTTACCGTGGCTGCGGTGTAGGCGCGGTGACCCTTACCAGCCACCGTATCATCTGCTGAAGTTGCCGGCGGCACATGCGCACTTTGTTGTTTACAACCAAAACTTTCTTGAAGCTAAAGCTGAAATAATGGCCAAAGGAGGAGACGGCAGCACTCAGGACATTTATTATCCCTCAAAGAAGACAAAGTGGGAAGTTTGGGTATCTTTTTGATATTTGAAGAATGCCGAGGGACAGTTGATAGAAGACGGCTATCCTGTTTGCAGCACGTGCAGAAAAAGTGTCTTTGAAAGGCAGCAACGCTTCAAATCTCATGACACATCTGCGTGACCATCACCCACAACTCTACAGTCAACGCAAGGCAAGCTAACGTTTGCATTTTAGCTAAAATGCGTGATCCAAGGATTTGGGTTGAGGGAGAATGCAACGAGTCGCTATATAAAGCAGCCGCAGCGCCGCTACCTGCATATAAACCGTGTCGCGGACACCGCCATGTTGAAATGACGCTATGCATTACGGGGCTCCCAGGGGCAGATAAGAGTTGGTCTCTCTCCGAGAATAATTATGAATTTAACAATGATTACTGCCTGATGACATTTTCCCACATCTGCAAAGCTCCCTGGAAGGACACAAACCGAGGACAATACTTTCCTGATATAGGGTTTATTACTCAAGTAAGGGTAAAAAAGTATCTGATTAGAAGGCTACTTGAGTACTGAGTATCATCTGAACTAATATTTTTAAAATGATGACATCAAACAGACATAAAATAAGAAGTTATGGGCAAATATTGGTATTTTAAAGACTAAAGAGAAAAATGTAAACAAATAAACAACATAATTACAAAATAACACATTTTAGGCTAAATTTAGACACAAACTGAGGACAATATTTTCCTGACATACAGGGTTTACTTAATTGTGTGAAAATGTAGCACGTTTAAAAAAGAATACCGCGATAATGCCGAAAACCGTGGTAATTTTGGTCACAATAACCGTGAGGTTAAATTTTCACACAGTGACAACCCTAGTAGTGATACTACAGTAGTAACGTACAGGAAAATACTAGTACCTTTTAGGTACTTTGTTGCAGTTTTTTAGCACATTACTAACAACCTGAAGCATCATCTCTAAGTGAGCAGCTTATGTAACTCGCTTTCAACTAACAGGAGATAAAGTGATATAGCTGTATAATCCTAAATAAAGTTCACTTAAAGAGGGCTGGAGGCTACAGTGTGTGTTAGGACAGGGCTCTAGATGTATGATCACCTGAGATCATACAACTAGAGCCAGTACGCCCCAGGGCAGCTGTGGCTACATCGTAGCTCATCACCATCAGTGTGTGAATGTGTGTGTGAATGGATGAATGAAACACTATAGTGTAAAGCGCTTTGGAGTCCTTACTCTGAGAGGCGCTATATTAGTGCGGGTCATTTATCATTTATCATGAGACTGGTCTGGGAGACTAGCCAGTAAAAGCAGAACAGATGCATTTGGTTGAGGAAGAAAAACCAAACACCTCTAGTTTGCATTCAATATTTTTGACTTTAACATAGAAAATAGGGTGTGAAGATTGTAGCAATACTCTATATGTGTGTGTGTGTGTGTGTGTGTGTGTGTGTGTGTGTGTGTGTGTGTGTGTGTGTGTGTGTGTGTGTGTATTAATTCCCATAACAAACAAAAAAAAAGGGGGAAAGTAGCTAATGACTGTCTTAAAATTATCTGAATGACGTCACCATCTAATCTGCATAATTTGAATTGTATGATCGCATGTGTGAATATAATTTCCACTATAGGAGAGAGGAACTGTGTGGTGAAACAAAATGTGAGTTTTCCAGCAGCAGCTTCACACATGTGAGGCTTGTCTGGACTCAGAGGGGTAACATTGCATGCTCTAACCACAGAAGACTTCTGCAAGAGGAACAGGAACAGGTGATGGCCCACAGCAGCATCTGCTGCTTATTCACAAAAATGAGATCAAAGTATGCTTTCACATCAGAGCCTCCAGTAACACCAGAAACATCAATAATCTGTTACTAGTTACTTGTATTCAAAACAGAGAGACCAGATAAACCTAAAAATTCACTAAAGAAAGAAATTATCAGGTGGCAACACAGAACGGGGAACTTACTGTGCAAAGACCTAGGCCTAGTCCACATGTAGCCGGGTTTTTTTTAAACGAATATCCGCCCCTCCAAAAACTTGCATCCACACCACCTTGTTTTAAAACAAAACTCTGTCCACACGTACCCGGATAAATACGTTGTTAAGGACATGCCAGAGCTGTAGGCGGCAGTACTTCCCCCGTTCTTAACCTCGTCCTTCGTCTGTGGTCTTCCGCAAGGAGCAGTAATTCCGCTTGCAAAAACAAACAAGCAAAAAGCGCTTGGACTATTGATAAAGCGAGCGCAGCTCTGAGGGCATCCATGCTGTCGGCTAGTGTAAACACAGGTCGCACACGTGATGTCAGCATTTTTTGTGGCGGAAAGTGACGTTGCGGACCTTAAAACTCTGGTTTTGTCTGTCCACACGCAGACACCCAAAACGGAGAAAACGCAGATCTTTACTTTAGCCGGAGCTTTTAAAAAGATCCGTTTTCGTGTGAAAAAACTCCGTTTTCGTGTGGATGATATCTACGTTTTGGCAGATCCCCGGCTACGTGTGGACAGGGCCCTAGTTTGGACGTCCTACAGACGTGGCGTGGACCGACAGACTCAATATGGACATGATCTGCACACCCATGTGACGTTGCCTGCTTGCAGGGCTATGTCAATAAATTGCTCTAAATACTGTTGTTGCCCTAATGCATCACGGGCATTGAAGTTTTGTCACACCTGAAATCCAGTGCATTTGTCAGAGAAATATACAATTCCACATTTAATATGTAACTACGGGTAATTGAAGACCTCATATAAATGTTATAGAAGCGTCTAAAGGTTTGTTTATGCTTGACGCGTCCGCGAGGTCCGCACGGCTCCGCGCGGAAAAGTTGGGTCATTTTGCGTCATTTTAACAACCACGCCCCTCCGCCGCACCTCCGCACGGTCCAATATGTCCGCAACACACACCTAGGAAATTTTCTAACCACGCGGACGGTCGGACGCGGAAAAACATGGCGGACCAGCAAGAACTAGTATGGCAGAGGTTGGTAAACACAGACATTTGTATGATTCAGCTCTCAAAGATCGCCGTGATCAACATGTTGTTAATAATTCTTGGAGAGAAATAGCTTGCACTGTCGGAAAAGATGAGGACGCTGTTAAAAAATGCTGGAATGCCATGTTGTAAACAGTAATTTCTACTTCTACTATGGTGTAGTGTTGGTTGCATGCTGTAGAGCTCCATGCTGCCCCCTACAGTTTGGGAGAATATTGGCTCACCGCAGAGACAAGCCGCATGAACCAGAAATGCTGCGAGTTGTGAAGCGCGTTCCATCAGCGAGCCACATCACCAAGCGGAAAGTGAATGCGTCAAGCATAAACCAAGCTTAAGACTCTTTGAGGTCTACAGCATGGAACATGACTGGTTAAGACACTGCTAACCCTCTTTGTGACGGAGGTGCATGAAGAACTGAGCCACAGAGCAGCAGGTCACCAGTCAAACAATAAGAGAACAGGGCAGCTCTATCTGCCAGTGAACTCACTGGACTGCTGGGAGCACACTTCCTCTCAGGGGTCAGCTAGGGTCAGCAGGCCAGGGAAGATGGGGGGGAGGTCTTGGCATCTAATGGTCAGATTGTATGTCTTTTCCTGTGAGCTCCCACTAAACACAGCAAGGGGGATTTCCAACTCAACTCCAGCCATTGTGCTGCAAATATTTGCTGACCACTTGTAGCTCCCAAGACTTTCAAAGACAGGAAAGAGAAGAGCTCTTGCTGCTGACCAACAGGATATATTTACAGTAAAACCGTTAATCTGTTATTGTGAAGGGGCCTCTATCAGCTACAGGATGTTTGGCAGGCGCAGCGGCACACCGCTGGCACTGAAACGCAGCAACATTCCTTTTATTTTATTAATGCTGAGGGGTGAGTTCGGTCGGGGCAGCCAAGCAGCAGATAATGAACTTACTTGTGTGTGAGTAGATAAACCAAAGGGCGCCAGTCAGTAGAACTCCAATCATAAAGGCTGCAAAGGCGATCCCCATTACTGTCGGTGTATCCAGCATATACAGCGTTTCTGCAAAACATGCGTACTGTTGGTTTCTGCTTGAAAGAAAACTGTGAGGAAAATAAGATGCAGACAGACTTACCTTCATTAGGGGGTCCGTGTGGTTTTGGAGCGGTTTTATAATCTAAAAGATCCGAAAAAGAAAACAGAAGAACGAAAACTTAATGTATGCTTTCAATTGTGTCAACGTGCTCAGCACACATGTGATGTATTAAACGTAAAATGCTGTGAGTCACCCTGTCACACAAAAGCCCACAGAGCAGCAGATTACTCCCTGCGTTGGGCTGATAATCTGTGGAATGCAGCTCAGAGCCGCGTCTTCACAGACGAACCAGCTGACTCCTGGGAGACCCGCTCATCCATTCACTCCATCTGGAAGCCTTTCAAAAGTCAATCTAGCTGGAATGATGTCTTCACTAACAACACAAAACGTGCTTGTGTGAGCGGCCGGACTAAAGAGGAAGAGCTGGTAGGATTCCAGCTCTTGAGCATAATGGCTGCTTTTATCCTGAAGAAAAGTTTTCATTGTCGTGAATGATGACAGGCAGTCAGAGAAAACTTTAATTTGAGAGGAGGTGATGGAGTGAGGGTGTCTTTCCACCACTCCGTCCCATAGCTCCTCTGACCGTCGGAAGAGGACTGTAGAAACAGAGCTTAGGCCTAGTCCACACGTAGCCGGGTTGTTTTAAAAACGAATATCCGCCCCTCCAAAAACTTGCATCCACACTGCCTCGTTTAAAAAAAAAACTCTGTCCACACGTACCCGGATAAATACGTTGTTAAGGACATGCCAGACCTGTAGGTGGCAGTACTTCCCCCGTTCTTAACCTCGTCCTTCGTCTGTGGTCTTCCGCAAGGAGCAGTAATTCCGCTTGCAAAAACAAACAAGCAAAAAGCGCTTGGACAATTGATAAAGCGAGAGCAGCTCTGAGGGCATCCATGCTGTCGGCTAGTGTAAACACAGGTCGCACACGTGATGTCAGCATTTTTTTGTCGCGGAAAGTGACGTTGCGGACCTTAAAACTCCGGTTTTGTCCGTCCACACGCAGACACCCAAAACGGAGAAAACGCAGATCTTCACTTTGACCGGAGTTTTTAAAAAGATCCGTTTTCGTGTGAAAAAGCTCCGTTTTCGTGTGGATGACAGGCCAAAACGTAAAAATATATCTTCGTTTTGGCAGATCCTTGGCTACGTGTGGACAGGGCCTTATTCTCCCATAATTTAACTACCTTTTGTGCTATTTTTCAAGCTGAGAAATCAACACAACTTATTTTCTAATTGACCCCACATCCACTATTGTCACTTTTAACCAAATCAAACATTTACATAAAAAATGTATATACTGTTTGCATATTGAAGCTGCTGTCAGAGTCTGAGCAGCACTGACTCCACTGACTATATCTGACTCCACAAATGTGAACATTTTTTTTCCACAAATGCATATTTTCCCTGGCGATGGGGGGCAGTATATACCTAAATCATCGCAATAAATCAGTAGTTTTGTGTTCAAGTAAGACCTTACCAATGGATGCCCATAGGGTCCAAAACCCCTGGGAGAGCAACCTCCAGCCATACAACAAGCACATCAGACTCCCTTTCATCACCGGCAACGAGTGAAGAGGTAAACGTGTAAAACGACGTTCATGAATGACAACACTTTTGTAACCGTTTGTTACAAATCAGTAAATGTGTTTTGTCCTCACGGGCTCCCGTAGAAGGAAACATGGCGTCTAATATGGTGTCACCCGGAGAACCGCTCCCATGTATTTTAGACCCGATTTTTATGGTTATATGTTACAAAGCCGCCAACATTTTTCAAGAACTGGGCATCATTTAATTATTTGTCAACAATGTTTCGATGGATGTTTCCAGAGATAAACTATAAAAACTACTCATTGTTTCTTTAAAAATGTGCTCAAGGGAAACTGTGCCTAACTTTTCTTTCATTTCATTAATAACTTCAGCTTAAACACAAGTAGATGTGCTAAATAACACATGGCGGTCAGAGGGGCCGACGGCGCCTCTGTCAGACCTCCCCAGGGCGGCTGTGGCTACAAGTAGCTTACCATCACTAGCAGTGTGTGAATGTGAGAGTGTGTGAAAGCGTCTTTGGGTGTCTTGAAAAGCGCTATATGAGTTCAATGCATTATTATGTAATAAAACATTAGCCTGGCCTGCCAGACTCATCCTCTGTTTAATTCTGCACAGAGAATGAGTCTGGTAACCCCCCTATTCAAATAACCCCTCCCCGTGAGATTTCTAGCCGAGCCAATCAGCGCTGAGCATCGTACGTCACACACCACAACGCCGAGTTTGTCAAAAATGGCGACTGAATGGGAGTTCGCTGCGGCTCTTTCCTCTGGACACAACAAGTAGAAGCACTAAAAGCCTTTCTTCTAAAGAAAGATGTTTGCGCTGTCACCAGACTCCATTTTTGACTACAACAAAAAAACTACAGCGCCGCAGACGTCACACACAGCGATGCTCAGTTTCTCATAAACAGCAAAGACAGCGGCGGAGTTGGCTGCGGCTCTTTTCTCTGTTCTAAATGACTCAAATGTCTTTAAAACCACAAGTAGAAGCGCTGTTGGGTATTTTTTATAATTGTAACTTTTTGAGGCCTAAAAGATGCCCATTTTGTGTTATTAACACTTCATGAATCTCTTGTGTTTGCCAACTGTGGCTGTTTATGAAAGGTTGAGCAGAGAAGCTTGTTTGCAGTCAAGGATGTTGATTGTGGATTTCCAGGATGTTGATTGTAGATTTCCAAGGAAACCTCTGTACCTCAGTAATCTGAGAAGGCCCCGCCTTCTCCATCCTTTGTGAATAAAGCCCCTGACGAACTGGGAGCACAAGGGAGTGACGGGGGGAAAAGCCTCGGAGGAGGTTTTTCCCTGCGTTAACTCTCCATTATTTTGGGGACTCAGGGTAAAATGTCTCCCTTATTGTCATGTGTGTTATTTCAGGTTCCAGGGTTATGGAGATTAAATATTACCCCACATGTAATTACTTAACAAGCGCTAAAAGTATTTCTTCTAAAAAAAAAGGTAAAAGATGTTTGCGCCGTTGCCAGATGCAATTTTTCTTACTACAGCTAGAAAACTACAGCGTTGTGCGATACAGTCGGGATTTCCATCTTTTTTCTGATTGGTTACTTTGAGCTGCCTAGTCCCGCCCCTTAAGTGCTTCTGCCTGTGAGTTACCAGACTCGTTCTCTGTGCAGAACTACACCGAGGACGAGTCTGGCAGACCAGGCTAATAAAACATTACATCCGTAATAATCTTAAATTGGAAAATAACCGCTAAGATTAAGCAGGACCTATGAAACACGGTCATCTGGCCAGCAAAAATGATGTCATTCATATCAAATAATAAGTAAAAGCACTGACTCATACCAACTGCGGTGGTTTAGTTGGCCATTGCTCAGAGTTTAAACATCTCTTCCAATGCGCTGGAGAATGGGCGCTCATGCTATCAGCCCATCTAAGTTTAGGTCATAATCAGAACAATATGACTGAGCGTTAACTCACGACCACACCTCCCGCCAGCTTCTGCCTCAGTCGGATTGTTGCTAAACCCGCTGAGACCGAGCAACACATTGTGGAAGAAGGACCAGAGACGCTGTCTTCATGTTCCTCCCCAAGCTGAGAAGAAAAGAGGATCACCCACCCCCCACCCATCTACTGGAAAAGGGAGGCCACAACAGAAGGTTTAAGTGAAAACAACTGCTGCTTGTTGCTGTGTGACTCCTCTTTTTCCACATCTCCGGAACAGTGCCCTGATCCGGAACAGCGGAGTCGGGTCGGAGCATTAACGCACTCCACTTTAATCAACGCTGTGTTATTGTGTAAACATCTAAATACTCACTGCAGTGCACTAATGGTGTTAATCAATGCACATGCAGACATATCGAAACACTGGAGGTAATCAGAACCAGACGTGGAGAAGTGATGTGGTTTGGGTTCATCTTTATTGTGCTGATCTAAGCTTCACCCAGTAGATTTTTATTTACCACAGTCAGTGTATGGTGTAAAAAGCTAAGAACTAAGTTTAGTTTCTCTCTCGCCAACCTTTTCGGTGTGCATGACTTACCTCCGAGCACAATCAGCTTCTTGGTCAACACCTTGATGTTCAACATCAACTGCACGATTGAATCAGGAGAAACTGAGTCGCAGGTCAAACACTGAAATGTGATGAAATGAGATCATCAGCACTTTAAAAATGGCACATTTCACACCAAACATATAGCTATAAATATATTGTAGAGATAAAAACTAAATGAATGAACAAAGGGGATCTCTAGCATTTGTCAAAAAATCTCCACCAATAATACGTGTTGGACCGAAAGCAACTATTGGACGACCCGGTTGTAGATCTTGCCCGTGTCACTGCGTCCTCGCCATTCCCTGAATTCTCCACTCAAAACACACTTGTGTGTTTAGCAGCAGAACACCACTGGTGTGAGAGGTTCTCTGCTCAGTAACATCTGAGATGGGGAAACAGCCGGCTGCTACCACTTACACTTTAGCACAGACTACTAAAAAGCATCACTTAAAGAGCAAGTCACCCCCAAATCAACTTTTTTTGCTGATTAACTATATAAATGTGTGTCTAATTGGGCTGCAGACACGTGTAGTCAATGATTTAGCGCTTTAGTGCATCTTAGTTAAAATTTAAATATTCTGCCCAAAACTGGCAGTGTTGTGCCGTTGTCAGGTAAAAACTCTGCTCTGCATTTGAATTTAAATCTGCCACCACTATTGGCTAAGAGGTTTGCTATGATGTAAACTGGTACATTATGATGTCACAATGCCGTTGTGAGCCTGTGTGTGTGTGTGTGTATTTGTTAGTGGCTCCGCCCTCTCGTTCTGCTAGGCAACAGCATTTGTTGCATTTTTTAAACATGAAGAGGGAGTGAAGTAAGTTTCTTGTAGGGGGTGACCTGCTCTTTAAAGTCACAGACAAGAAAAGACATAGAAAACGGTGACTGGTGTTTAGTGCTTTCTCGTTTCCTTTGGCAATGCAGGTTTTCGTTTCTGGCAGAAGTGTCTCAGGGAAGATATGCGAGAGGAGGGGTGAGGGTTCTGTGATCATGTTGGCGTTCAAAACCTAGCTTATGCTGAAGATCCGCTTTAATAGCTTTAATCATGTAAGTTTCTAATGGTCAAGCATAATAGTCAAATAATGATCAAACATTATAAACAGCTGAAATGAAGAACACACAGTATCACAGTATTTTAACAGTATTTTTAAAATGTGTTGGAAAATTGGAAAACAATACTGGAAACTAAAATTATATATAAACATAAATGGAATATAGAATACTGGGAAATTTACTATAGAAACCATTAAACTGGTAAATGTCTCATCCCTGTTATTTTTTTATTCAACATAAGATTTGTAGAAAAAAGATAAATGTTAAATGAGCTGATTTTTCTCTTTTTACCAGGAAAACATCAATCTATAATCATCTGAAACAAATGCTGGTAATACTAAAAAGCCACAGACAAAGTTAAATGAAAAGGCTTGTGAAGTAAAACTATTGAAATGCACACAAAAAAAAAGCTATCTAGAAGATTCTGCGGCGTACCTGGGGTAGCTCTTGATTCCTCTGATTCCTCTTTGAGCACACCGACACCTCACAGTGCAAGAATAGAAATTCTGAATTTAACTTGGAGTCGAAGGTGAAACTGAAAGTTTTATTGTCCGTCGTTGCAGAAGAAGGAGAGACGTCGCCCTGATAGATGTAGCTAACAGAGTCGTCCTTGGGGCAAATTGTCTCAATGAGCATGTAGCTGGAGGACACTTTGGAGTTGGAATCGGGAGAAATGAAGCACGATGTGATGGTGAACCCAACGTCTGGGTTGGATGTGGTTGATGTGACCTGTAGAGATTTAAAAAGATATTAAAGCTTTCACTTTCATGTCAACAGACTATTTGTCTCTTTTTTGAAAAACATCTTTAAGTTTTTAAAAAATCAGATATTATGAAGTCTGTGAAAACTTCATTAACTCATTCGTTGCCAGCCGTTTAGATGTTTAGATGTTAATCTAATTCTGTTTTGAGAGCATTTTGATTTTATGATGTTAATCTATTTATGATTTAATGACTTTGTTTTATTTTGTTTTGATCTATGTGAAGCACTTTGTGATTCTATAACAGTGGTAAGTGCTATATAAATAAAATGTACTTACTTACTTACTATTTACTTAAAGGCCTTCGCTGCCAGTATTTCTCACCGTTTCTACAGTTTTTTTAAGAGTGACAGAACGTTGCGCGCTAGGATGACGTCGAGGCCAAAACAACCAAAACAAAGCAGAGACCTCTTACATCAGGAAGAATCCGCATGTTTCGATCATTATCCGTTCTTTCATAATCTGTTGTTGAATTGTGATCGGCAGAAGCTTTTCCGGTTCGCGCTTCACCTTTTTTTTACAGGAACATCCCAAAAGGATCTCCTAACACATGGATTTTCTGCTTCTTGATCATGTGACGTGTGACGTATGTGGATGAAGATCGGCTTCAGAGCTGAGATGTTTGTTCTCTCAGCGCAGGGGCTCGTTCCGTTGCCCACACAGTAAAAAAAATGCAAATTGGCAGTGAATGAGTTAAAGAAGTTGAGTAAGAAACTAGTGTTTCTTTATGCATTGCTCCTTTATTCATTTTTTATTAGAAAACAATATGTATCCAAAACACAAAACTCTAATTTGAGAAGCACAAGCATTTCAGAAAAATACATTTCAGTTATCTGAAATGTTATAAAAAAAAAAAATATATATATATATATATATATATATATATATATATATATATATATATATATATATATATATATATATATTGTGTTTAACATTTATGTCTTGAATAAATATGAAAGATTTATGGTTTCAGTGAACATTGATGATTTATTAGCACTATTTCCTAGGGGGCCTGCAACTTTGTAAGGGTGGCCATGGCCACCCCTTAAGCTTGGTTTATGCTTGACGCGTCCGCGAGGTCCGCACGGCTCCGCGCGGCAAACTTGCGTCATTTTAACAACCACACCCCTCCACCGCGCCTCCGCACGGCCCAAACTTTCCGCACCGCGCACCTAGGAAATTTTCTAACCATGCGGACGGTCGGACGCGGAAAAACATGGCGGACTGGCAAGAACTAGTATGGCAGAGGTTCGTAAATACAGACATTTGTATGATTCAGCTCTCAAAGATCACTGTGATCAACATGTTGTTAATAATTCTTGGAGAAATAGCTCGCACTGTCGGAAAAGACGAGGACGCTGTTAAAAATGCTGGAATGCCATGTTGTAAACAACAGTCATTTTTACTTCTGTTATGGTGTAGTGTTGGATGCATGCCCTAGAGCTCCATGCTGCCCCCTACAGTTTGGGAGAATATTGGCTCACCGCAGAGACGAGCCGCACGAACCATAAACGCTGCAAGTTGTGTCCATCCGCGAGCCGCATCACCAAGCTTTAGGGGTGCCACTGTTTTCAGTTAGGTTGTAGATGACCTGATTTTAGGGATGCAACAATACCACCTTTCTCCAAACTGATACAATACCGATACTTGGATCTGAGTACTCTCTGATTACCGATACCGATAATTCTACTACACACAAAAAATCAAATGAATTGGAATACAGGTTTTATTCTTTTCTCTGCTTTCAACAGGAAAACTGTGAGGTAGTTAAAAAACAAAACGTATTAATAGAAATTATCACAAAACTAAAATATTAGGTGAACAGAAATGACAAGTTACAGTAAAGCCACTTTCAGGCAACTGCATTAGTATCGGGTAACTTTTACTGTACGGTCCTATCTGATTTGTTAGCTGTTATCTTCACAATAAAATACAAATAAGATTAAATTAAAGTCACATTATTCAGTCTTTTGTATCCAGTCTGAACCTTAAACAGCAGTCCTATAAAAAAAAATCTGTCAGACAATAAATTTGATCGGTTACATAAGGGCTTCTTCAGTCCTACAGTATTACATTAATAGGGAGTGTTTGCTTCAGTTAAGCTGTTCACGACTAGATGCATAAAGTAGTCTGTTAATAGTACAACAGACTGTTAGGGAACACACACAGGTGTTTTTTTTTTTCATTTTTTATTTAAAACAAAAATCACAATTTGAGAGTTGGAATGAAGAAAATCATAATATAAATGCAAACATACCGATACAAACACTTCTTTATGCTTGGAAACTGTGTAGAAGGCCTGGCGTGAAGGAGTGTTGAATGGCAGTGTGTCATAGAGCTCCATGTCAAAGGTCACGTCATTGGCCAGTGGCCTGGTTGGCTTCTTATGAGTAGATGTTGAAATCCTTTCATCCTTCCTGTATGTGCAGTTGAACTATGAAGAGAATAAAAAGAGCAACTCAAACAGTCAGCAAGGACCACCCCGACATGTCAGCGTTTGGCCAAACTAATGGGCTCGACACACGGGAGGCGATCCGCGGCAGCTGCAAAGGCGTCTACGCGTTCTGTTCCATGGCGAAATCCAAACTTCAGTTGTTTCGTTTGGCTGTGTCAGGTTGGAGGGAATTAAGGTTATTTAAGCGGTTCAGATGTTTCACAAGGTGCTGCTAGAGTTATGTGAAATCTTACTTCTGATTTTACTATAAAACATAATAATAATCAACTTCTCCTTCGTGTTTGCTCGGAGATGTACGGAGCATCCTGTCCGCTCACTGGTCAGTGAATGAAACCTCCGTTGATTGGTCGTCGTCCGAGCGACAGCGCTGAAAAGTTGAAAATGTTTCAACTTTCTGGGATCGCGTCGCTGGGTCGCCTGTGCACGACACGTGCACGAGCGCAAAATTTCACACGCACGTTTTTCGCGTTTCGCTTGGTAGGAGGGAGACCCGCGATTATCGCATTGTCGCGCATGTCTCATTGAAAATGAATGGAGGAGAGGCGATGTCGCCTCCTGTGTGTCGAGCCCATAGGGAGGGTAACAATGTTGTGAAGAAACATTAGATGTGCTGCCAAGTGGGGGGTCTAAAGCTCAAGAACTAGATGATAAAAAACAAATAAACAAGTCATTATAATTTAAGTACCAAAAGGTCAGGATGGAACATTTCAGGTCAAGTTCATTCAATGAACCTCATGCTGGAGACAGAACATCTGTATACGCATCAAGTCCACTCATCAGAGCTTGGACTTGTCAGCTTGGGTTACAGCTGCTACGGTGCAGAGTTCTCACTCAGCAGTGGCTCAACTCCATGGACGTAATTTTGGGGGGGACAGGGGGGACATGTCCGTCCCCCCCCCGTCCCCCCCACACACACACTTTTTCCAAAATCAAGTTTTGACCCCTGCACTTTTTACCATCCAAAAACAATATTACGCTACATTAAATTGACAGTGGTTGAGCTCTAGGACCAAGCGGAAAACAACCGTTTGTGTTGAAGCCTGTTTCCCATTAGAACATACTGAAAAGATCCCCCACCCCACCCCCGTGTCCCCCCCCCACTTCTAAAGTGAAAATTACGTCCATGCTCACCTCTATGAAAGATGTTGGCTGTTTTTGTTCTGCTAATATCCTATCGTACTCCACTGGGCCACTTGTGAATGGCCCATGTTTGAATTCCTGATCCTCGTCCACCAGACCACCGCCTCCGGCCTGAACAGGATTTATTATCACCTGCAGTGCACAGAGAAAGCTGTTACAACATCTCAGTCACATTCAAAAAAGGAATTTCCACAGTTTTATTAAACACACTGATGGCATCTCACTTTGGCAGAAGTTTGAATCTTCGAGAGGGGTCAGATAAACGTTGATGCTTCTATATTTTGTAGGATCAACAGAAATAAAGCATGTTTGCCTTAGAGGAGTAAAAGCACATCCGAGGTTTTGGATAAGCCCGCTGCATCAAACGTGTTTGATCTAATGACTAGATTGCAGTCTGAGAAAAGCAAAAACTAGAGCTGCGCTGATGTCTGGACAGACCAACAGGGCCACTGTTGGACTAAATTATCACAGCAAAGATGAGGCAACAATCCAAACTGGTTATCGTCAAGGCAATAGAAATGCAGCAGTAGATCCAACACAAAAGATGACATTGGAGATATGCCCAGGGATTCAATCTGCTTCAGTGTTGCTCAAAATTTCCCCTGACAGGAGATTTCAAAAAGCCAGAGAGGAAGTGATTCATCGTTGCCTGTTAGAACAAATACGCTGAATCAATGCGTTCTGTTATAATGATGAATGAAAACTGAACGTGATAAAAGCAAAGGTTCACATTACAGCGACTGTCCACAGTTTTATACGTAGCTGATGAGGACAGACTGCATGTGACCAAAAGGCCTCAGACTTTCCTTTTAGATGCAACCTCTATTAAAGTTAGATTGGTTTATCCTGGCCCATCCCTTTAGTTATGCTGCTATAGATTTAGACTGATCAGATTTCCTTGCACTACTGACTTTACTCTCTTCTCATTCCATGTTTCTATTGCTGCCATGAACTTTCTTCTCTCTATGATGACTCGTACAACATTCTTAGTTTTATGTCCATCCTGCCTCCTGGCTGGAAGGTTCTTCTTATCGAAGGATTTCCCTTTCCATAGCGTGACTCAAGCTGGGACCCTAAAACTAACCCACATCCTATATGAAACCTTATTGCTCCTCCTGAATGAGAAGTTTGACCACTTATTTAAACCTGCCTTCCAGCACCTTAAAGCAAACTTCATATGATCCCAATGAGAATATGTCTCCCTCTTTAACAACTGGGACTATCACCTAGGTCTGAAACTCCAAAGGCATTCTCCAGGCTAAAGGTCAAAGGTGACAGATCATTTGCTGCTGTGGGCCCCAGACTCTGGAACTCTCTCCCCCTGAGCCTGAGATCAGTGGACTCAGGGGTCTCCTTTAAAAAGCAGCTGAAAACTCACCTGTTCAGGCTGGCTTTTGTATGACCTTCTTCACCACTCTCTCTTTATTCTGCTCTCCCCACCTATTCCACCTTCCTCAGGATCCACTGGTTTCCCTCTTTCCTGTTCACTCTCTCCCCGGCTTTCCACGGGAGCCGTCAGCAGCACGTTACTGCAGCAGCACGTCTTGCTCGCGTAAGCTGCTGCTTGGCCCTTCCCACGAGATGCAAAGCAGCAGGGGAGCAACTGTCACCGACCGAGCACGAAGTCACACGAGTGACTTCGTCAGTAAACACAACAACAAGCAGGAGAAAATTACAACATGGTTTGTGTTTTATGTTCTGTCAGTTTTTATAATCGCCAATACGGACCTGAAAAACAAAGGAGACCGCTAGCTAGGTGATAACTTCTCACGGGGCCGCACAGTTAGTAACTGTTTTTAAAAGTAAAGCAACCGGGAGGCAGTACGTTTCTTTATTCTGAAAATCTCGGGAGCTTCTCTCCATTTCCACATCCGATTTCATGTCTTTCCTTCCCCAAAACTGTCGAACTTGACCCGTTTCAGAGGCGTCGCGCGTAGAAAATAGAACCGGCGCGTAAAGGCCGCGACATGCTGCTCCTGAGACGCGGCCATCTCGCGCTGCTGGCGGCTCCAGTGGAAAAGGTTCTGTTGACCACAGCGGTTCCTATCAGCAGCTATGACGTGCTGCTGTGGAAAGCCGGGGTAACTCTTTCTTTACATTTTTTAATCACAACTTTCTATTTTTGCTCATTTTAAATATATTTTTAACCATTTTCTAAATTCGTTTTTTATTTTTACATTTTTTTTGTTTGTATTTGTGAAGCGCCTCGTGATTTTTATCTTGAGAGGTGCTATAGAAAATATATCTTCTTCTTCTTCTTCTTCTTCTTCTTCTTCTTCTTCTTCTATGTGACACTAAAGAATACAGGCAGCCATGACAGCCCCACAACACCCACAGTGTTCTACATCTCAGGACTAATCATTCACCTCTGGTGTCCTGCCACTCAGGGTTTTATTTTTTGGCTACTTAAGGAACTTCTGTCATGTCTGAAGTGGACTGATTTCCACCCAAGTCCTCAGACTCCACCTCCTCAGTGGTGGGCATGGTGACCAGATTAAGGAGAGCTTCAGTGATCTTTTCTCCGCCCAACAATATCTTCAGTCTGGTTCCCCAGTTCCCCACCCAAACCAAACATAGCCTGGGATGGGCCCTCGTTTCCTTTTCTGAGTCGTCCAACACGTTTCCAGAACTTTTTTTTATAACAGAGTTCATGTTTTCCTTAGAGTCTAAGCTAGATAACGGAGTTATCATGGATAGCTCAGAAAAATGTTTCCTAGTGTCTAAAAAGTCCAGATGATCTTGATGGTGTTAACCGTGGGAGAAAAACATACTCACATTGTTTATATGGAGGACCTTCACATTATCAGACATAGGAAGCAGGGTGGTCTTACACCCAGTCAGAGGAGTCTCCAGCATGTAATGGGTGGCATTAACCACTGCTTTGCATTCTGGGTCTTGTAGTGTAAGGCTGGCGTTGGTGAACCCATTCGCCTGAGGAAACATCAAAACATGGCAGCACTGGATAAGAACACTTTTCCTTTAATAGCTCACTTTAAGATTAGTGAAAAACAAGAAGCAGAAGTGTCACAGAAACCCTGACATGCTTGTGTCAAACTAAGTTCTCAAGAATAAACAAATCCCACAAGGTGGTCTTGTTCCAGCTCCTAATTACAGACTGTGCCAGTTTCCATTCTGTGGTGGGGGCGGACTGAGCCATCCCCAAGTTTGGTCGCCAAATGTTTGGAACAGTGCCCCTTGCCTCAGTGTCCGCTCATAAGGAGACGGTTCCCTTCATTATACTGTTGGACCTCACCCAAAAGAACTAGCACTCTTTAACAACATTGATGTGCACATCTCTGGAGTACGTAGATTTTGTGAGAATTTAAAAAACAGATTAACTTCTTGGATATATTATCAGTTACTTGGTCTCAACTGTGAAAAATCTGATTAAAATGAACAATATCATACTCACTTTCAGGCTTTCTTTGTCAACACTGACCACCATCCTCTTGTCCTCACACTTCACATGGACACCAATGTCAAGAACGTTACGCTCCTCAAGATCAGGAGGAAAGATTGGGAAGCCACCAGGCAAGGGGTGAGGGAATGAAAAGGGCTGACCGGAGAGCCGTGATGCAGGTCCGTTATTTAGCCGAGGACCAGAATTGAACTGGGGGAGAAAGGGGACGCCATCTGGACGAGCCACCGCATCTGAAAGTCATGCAGAGCCACGTGAGGTTGATTCACAGCCTGAGAAATCTCTCACCATGACTACGAGATCTGGTTTTAATTACCTGGCTCTCTCAGTCGGATGTTGAATTGGGTTGCCACTGGTGTGTTGGTGTAAGACGTTACTGGACTGTAGCCATGTTCCTGTGCCCAACTGATCAATGCTTGCGGCCCTGAAGGCAAGCTCTGTCTGGGGTACTGTGACACACTCATGTGAGAGTTCACGCTCATTGTGTCAGAAGCCTGCAGAAAAGAAAGTCCAGTACATGTTTCTTTCATTCGTTTGAGGTGATTAGACATGTTGTTTAAGTTTAAGCATCGCCACTTTTATCCTTCAAGTACAGCCCTGCACTGACTCTGCGTGAATCACGTGAGCGAGTGTGAGGTAATGGGCGTGTCACAGCTCGATCAATGCAGAGGAACCATCGAGCTGCTCCCCATGTGAGCGAGGACTCATTCTTTCTCACAGCCATTTCCCACACAGTCAAATCTCTTGAGCAACACTGAGGAGAGCAGGCAGAAGTCATGCCTCGGTTTCCTTAGGTCATCGTATCAGTTGCATAGCTGACTATCTTTCAAGCGCTCTGATTGCACAAACACAGAATGCTGTGTATCCTTGTTGGCAATGGAAATTTAAAAATCGTCAGTATACTGGTGTGAAGAAAATCAGTTCCTCTGGCATTTCATGTCAACTACTGTACAATGAAGAATAGATTTGCCAGTTGCTCAAGATAATAAATGCAAGCTGATCATGATTGTTGATCAAAGGTTTACAGGAAAAATGGTGATTGTAGAAGGTTTTTGTAATGCAGATCACCATAAAACTGGTTTTAGATGTATAATTTGCAGTAAGGAAAATAACCAGTTTTGCACAAAGTTGAACACTCTTTCCCACACTTCTGATTTTCAGCAATCATAAAATGAAATTATTGATTTTAAAGGATTTTATCTGTTCAATACTTTGTGAAACTTTAATCAATACATTAGCAGTGGTCTCTAGTGGGAATGGATCCCTTGTAAACTGTACTGTGTGTGTGTGTGGGTGGGTGGGTGGGGGTATTTGGATAAAGTTAGGGATATTTGGACATCTCTCTTCTGACTGGATAACAGCAAACTGACTCTGTTTGCTCTGCATCGTTGATGTTTTATCTTCACAAATAACCAGGGTATCTGCAGGTTTAAGGGAGCCGAATTTAAGACTTTTTAAGACCTTTTTTAAGGCCACTTTGACCAAATTTAAGCTATTTTTTTTTTATTAAATTTAAGCTATAATTTCCAGCTACTGCCTGGAACCGGTGCTAACCACATGGCAAACGTGGGATTACCACCCAGTTACCATTAAACTTGCACTTCCCCATGGCGCAAGCTCCCACTAGCTTAACCAGCTAATGTGCTCATCTAAAAATAGCCCTCTTTCACAACCAACTGAATGTGTACGGTTCCGCTTACGCCAACATCATACAAAAAAAATGCTGAAGACTAACTAGAAATTCTTGTTCATTGGGTCTTTGGTAATTTAAGACCTTTGGAAACTGTATTTAAGGATTATTTGTAATTTTTAAGGATTTTTAAGGCTTTAAATTTAGAAAAGCAAATTTAAGACTTTTTAAGACTTTTTAAGGACCCGCGGATACCCTGAATAACGCAAGCTTGGAGGAGCTTCTGCTGTCTGGTGGTGTTGCTAGTGCTAATGGTTAGCTTCTGAAATGAAAAAAAAATCTTTTCAACGTGAGGCTGGAAAACTAAAATTCTGGCAGAACACTGAACAGAGCTGAGAAGTAAGGGTGTCTCAGCGATAATATATTAGCAGCCTCTAAAGCGGAGGTTCACTGAGAGAAACGTGTGTCACGTGCTTTTTTTGAACACGCTAGGTCATGCTGCCTTTCACGTGCTTGCATAATGTGAAACTTGTCTTCAACCCACATTTTCTGCATTAGCTGTCGAAAGAAAACAGGCAGAGAAAGGTTTTAGTGAGAAAAGGCCCGTCTCTTCTACATTAGAGGGAACAATTTGCATTCGTAGACTCACCGTGGCTCACAACTGAGTGATGTGTTTACTTTGCAGCCAGGAGAGAGCAGACTGACTCTCGTCTAGTGTAAGCTAACCGTTAGCATTAGCAATTTCCCAACATGGCGGAACACGTTCGGGCTTTTTATTTGTAGAGATAACACATGAACAATGCATGCAAGGAAGAAGAGCGAAAGGAAGCAGTGGAAGAGTTGTGTTGTTATTAACCAATCAAGCGCAAGATGTTTGCACATCATGAATATTAATGAGTAAGACTCCAAATATTGTTGTTTTCTAACCCCACTCCTTCGACTAACTTCAAAAAATGGCTCTATGGCATTCATTCATTCACACTAGAGCCCACAGCAGACTAAGTGAAATAAAGAGTACTTTAATAAAAAAAAAAAACTATGTGTCACGGCTGCCAGCCTGGGGAGTGAAAAGCAGGAGCCAGGATCACCCAGGTCTAGTGATCAGCCGGACACCGCCCCTCCTCCTCCTCTCTTCCAGGCTGCTGAGGAGCACAGCTGAGCTGAATCCTCCTGATGAGCCACACCTTGGATAAAAAGGCTGTGTCTTCAGCAGTCTGGGAGACAGCAGTGCAGGGGTTCTGCTGTTCTCCATTCTTCGTTTTGTTTTAACTCCTTCCTTCCTTCCTTCCTTCCTTCCTTCCTTCCTTCCTTCCTTCCTTCCTTCCTTCCTTCCTTCCTTCCTTCCTTCCTTCCTTCCTTCCTTCCTTCCTTCCTTCCTTCCTTCCTTCCTTCCTTCCTTCCTTCCTTCCTTCCTTCCTTCCTTCCTTCCTTCCTTCCTTCCTTCCTTCCTTCCTTCCTTCCTTCCTTCCTTCCTTCCTTCCTTCCTTCCTTCCTTCCTTCCTTCCTTCCTTCCTTCCTTCCTTCGATCCTTCCTTCCTTCTTTCCTTCCTTCGATCCTTCCTTCCTTCGATCCTTCCTTCCTTCCTTCGATCCTTCCTTCCTTCCTTCGATCCTTCCTTCCATCTTTCCTTCCTTCGATCCTTCCTTCCTTCGATCCTTCCTTCCTTCCTTTTGATGAGTTTAACTTTTATAGTTAAACTCTTGAGTGATCCTGTGGGATCTTGTGCTCGTTGGTTTTTAAGGTTAACTTCGTTTGTTGCAATTTTATTGACTTCGTTTTTAAAACACCTTCTTTTCCGGTAAAACTTTAAACATAAGTTTTAACCAGGTGTTTTATGTCAATGAATTGTTTTAGAACTTTTATCAACTTTGTGGATTTCGAAACACCTTCTGTTTTGGTGAAACTTTTAATAAGTTTTAGCCAGGTCTTTTTAATGTTGGTAACTGCTCTTTTAATGTTAACCTTTTTGAGAGTATTTTTGTTTAGCATTATCTTAATAATGCTCGCCATCTGTTTGCTTGTGTTTTTAATACCTTTTTGTACAAATAAACCCATTTTAAACTCCTCCGCCAGTTTTTATGTTATCCCCATCCTTCACAGTTTACCATCTCATGTCGGGGACGTAACACTATGATATAAAGTCAGATTGTTCATATCTTTAGTGTTGCAGCCTGCTTACCACCACATACAGCTTCCCATTCACACTGTGGGTTTTGACAACCCAGTTGACCGACTTTTCGCATTTGAGCAGCAAGACGACGTCACTAACCACCAGGCTGCTTTCTTTCAGAGGCTTTATATCCACAAACACTTCAACCTGGTAAGAACTGCAGAAATGAGATGAGAAAAGAAAAAAGTACAGCGTTATCACATCATCCGTGTCTGGCCAACTAATTAAAAAACTAGATTTATTCCTAGAATGAAGCAGGCATATGCAGCACAGACGAGAGAGCCCCCAGAGTGCAACACAGCACCAAAGCTTTCACAGATCTGCAGAATTCAGGTTATCGGAGCAGCAAAACATGAGGCTGTTCAATCACAACTGTTTCTTCAAGATCCTGTCTCTGTGTCATTCTCAAAGAGAATACCTGCACAAACCGTTAAACCTCATCTTCCGTCATGTTTGCTCACATCCACAATAAACAACATGAAGTTCAGTGAGAACACCCTGTCTTCAGAAATAAATCATATCTATTATTGGCCTGGCCTTTTTTTTTATTTTTTGGCTGCTCACCTGCTTGAGTCTGGGGATTGAAGCTCAATAATGTGGACTTCTCTGTTTTTCTCGGGTGCAGACAGAACACAACCTCTGGATGCTTGTGGCTCCTCGTAGCTGCCCAGGTATTTCAGTGACAGAAATGAAGAGTCGATCTCACAGGTGTCAGAAAGCCCCAGATCTGAAAACAGGAGAGTAAAAGAAATCAAAAAAATACTTTTCTAGTGACAAAGAAGCTGGTATTCCATGGAGCTGGGAAAGAAATACAATCCCCTAGGAGGTCAATTCAAGACAATAACTAATTGAGTGGGGACAAACGTTGTAGTTAAAGGGAGACAAGGCAGTTTTGGCTTGCTTTTAGCACCCCCAGTGTCCGTATAGCACGACCAAAAGCCAAACGTATCTCCTCGCTGTGCGTTCGTCTTTTTAACACCTTTTTCTAACAGCTGAAAAGCCTCCTCAGATTTTATTAGCATCTACAGAAGTGATTCATGATTAAATTAAACAAATCAGCTGTGTTCATGATCTAAAGCATGCAAGAAACATGCTGGAAGCAGACTCCAGCGTCAGGTATGTCAGCTCCATTTTGTCTAAGCCCGAGACCAGACCGGCACTCTGAAGTTGCAAGTGCAATATTCTGGCAACAGGGGGCGATGGGGGTCTGAGTGACATTTCATTACCCTGTAAAGCCGGGCGTACACTGTGCGACTTTTTCACTTTTTTGAGCCGATTTTCTAGTCGTGCGAGAATCCACGAGATCGGGGCGAGTTTTGCGCCAAGCGTCGTGTAGTGTACAGGGGGTTACGAGAGGCAATTAACACCACGTGACCAGCCGCCGATCAGCAGTCGTGAGGTCGCACAAACTTCTGGCGTGTTTAAAATTTCGCTCGTCCCTCGTGAGGGTATCGCACTGTTGAAGCGGCGCTGCGAGCAGCTGCGACCCAAAATGTATCAGAACCGCTCACGGTGCATGCGCAATCCTGCATCAACGCCGCTCCCCGCTATTTCCCTAATAACACACGCTGTTCGTTTTATTTCTACACGTTTTTTTACTCACAAAGATTGACAAGAAAGCGTGTTTGTCGTGTTCATGTCAAATTAAACTGATCACAAAACACAGATTTACTTTCTTTATTTCGTTTTCCTCATCCAACCCCCATAAATCCCTGTGTGTCCTCCTGCAGCACTCCCGAAGGACAACAGGCAGGACAAGACAAAAAAGTCTGACGTGTTGAGTAAAAACTGCTATTTTTAGCATATTTTTAGGGACGACGTGTTGCTACCAGACGTACAGCGTGAGCAGTCAGGTCGCATCCGAGAACTGGGTCGTGCAGCGTGAGCACATGACTCGTGAGATCTGCTCTGCAAGGAAGTCGTACAGTTTGAGCTGAAGCTGAGTGCTACGAGTGAAAAAGTCGTACAGTGTACGCCCGGCTTAAAGGGTTCATTTGAGAACACACTGGCTCAAGAAAATGATTTAAAGATATGAAAAATTTGCCTAGCAACTCTTTAATTCATCAACATATGAGCGTCAAGAACACCGGAAGCACAAGTTTAATAGCTGAGTTCTCTTTGCCAAGTTTGAATTAATACATAGTTTTATATTTTCAATGAATATCTGAAAAATATGTCATTTAATCACCAGCAGGCTTTCTCTTCAATTCAAAAGTTATTTTTTTCCTTTATAAAAACGTTTCACATTTTGAGGAGACTAGACACCAAGCCGTGATTGTTAAGTTTTGTCATGCCGCTCCTAAAGGTGTTTGTCCTCCACAGTCCCTGTGCAGTCCCTGGTGATCTGAGCTTCAGCTCTAACAGAGAGATGCTCATGGACCACCGCAGCACTCCAGTTTTTCATCTCAGCTGATTTTGTTCAAAAAGCAAAACTTACGTCCCGTTTTTACTTTCAATTTAAATATAGTTGCTTGCAGGAGCTCGGCGGTAACTCCCCGAGTGATTATGACGCCTCTCTCTTACGCTCCGAGGCGCAATATCTATTTATAAGTCAGACAATTACCGCAATATTACTACCAGGTGAGGTGGAAGGAATGCCGCAAAATTTGCACAGTGCCAAGCCGGCATGACGTGTTTATAAGACACACCATTGCGGTCATTTACGCCAATTTTCCATCACGGTGTGTCTTGTGAAAAGGGCTTCTGTTGATTCTGCAATGTTGATGTTTTATCTCCACTAATAACACGGACCTGAAAGAGTTCTGCCATGTTGGAGCTGCTGATGCTAATGGTTAGCTGTTCTCTGCTGTCTCCTGGATGCTAAATCAACATCATCATCCCTGACACAAGCCAAGATGGGAGAGTCTAGGAATCCTAATTTACAGTGTGACATTAAATTTACCGGCTTTTCTAATCCGAGCGTTTCCTCGTTTATTTCCTATCCACGGCTAATGCAGAAAACGGGTAGAAGACTATTTTTATGTTCAGCCTGCATGTAAAACTGACAGATTATGTTAATGAATAACAAGTTAAAATCTTTGAAAGTCTTTGAAACACCACGAGGTGTGTCACTGGGAAGGTATAACAAAATAAGAGCATGTCTGAAACACAGAATGTCTCAAAATAATTTTTAATATTTGATATTTCAGGTTCTTTACGTAGTTTTTGGTGTAGATTCAAAACTAATTGAAAATGTAATTCATTGCATTTTTATAAATGCTTCAAAGCAGCGCTAATAGAGGTCTGGCCTGCCCAGTGAGAAAGGTTTGAACTGAAACGCGATCTTTCCGAAATATAAATGTATTTAAATCTAATACTTTTCAGTAAAGGAAAAAAAGATCCTATCCAAATGTAGAATCACAACTGTTCCAAAAGCATCTTTTAGTTTTCATCCTTTAAGCACAAGACGAAAACATATCAAATGCCTCCTTATTTGGATAAAATAACTTTGGAAGTGTAAACCGAGAGTTGGCGGTTTCCTCTCAGGAACCCTTGTGCCACTCTGAAGCGCTGACGAGAGCCTGTGTACGAGGCCAGCTGAGTGAAAATTTATTCATCTTAATAAAACACCACTGAAGGTGTAAAAAAGTGGAAATTTAAAGCTCTGAATTTGAAGCAAACGTGGTGGCGCTCTGGAGTTCTGCCAAACCACAGCCGACAGCGACACAAGGCGAGTGCTGGACGACTGAGCAGCGTTCTGCCCTCCTCAGTCTCACAAAAAGTGGAAAGGACCGACACCTAAGTGGTGATAAACTGAAAATTTCAATTATAAATAAAAAAAAACAGTCAAATGTCACTCCAGACGCATTTTATTATGAAATAATAGTGTAAGGTTATGAAGTTCGGAATTTTCAGCTCCACACAGCTGCCCCCTGTACACAGTAACACCCGTGTATAAAAGCCAAGGTCGGGTGTTCCTCAGACTGTTTACATTCCAGGAGAAGAGTCCGAAGGAGAAGAAGAACGCTTTTACTTAATCAAAGTACTTTATTTGTGATTAAAAAAATTAAGCAAAACAGATGTTGATCAATAATTAATCAAGTGAATGATCTGTGGAATAAAGATGTCATGATTTATGTGTTTAATGAAAACAGGACTATTGCACAGACAGACTGACCCTCATCTCCATAGAAACGCATGACACATTGTTCCAACCAATCAGAGCTTTCGGCTGCCGCAGGAGAATCTGGCTTGTTGACTTAAAGTGTCCAATCCGCTTTACTAAAACTTATCAACAATTCAGAGATATAAAACAAGGCACTCCTCCTTGAACCGTCACCTTATCGTGGTGGAGGAGTTTGAGTGCCCTAATGATCCTAGGAGCTATGTTGTCTGGGGCACTTAGTGCCCCTGGTAGGGTCTCCCATGACAAATTGGTCTTAGGTGAAGGGTGAGACAAAGAACGGTTCGAAGGATCTTTCATGGCGGTTAAAACGAAGAGTCGGAGTACCCGGCCCGGAGGGTTACCGGGGTCCCACCCTGGAGCCAGGCCTGGGGTTGGGGCCCGTGAGCGAGCGCCTGGTGGCCGGGCTTTCGCCCATGGGGCCCGGCCGGGCCCAGCCCGAACCGGATACATGGGCTCGTCCAACTGTGGACCCACCACCCGCAGGAGGAACATGAAGGGTCCGGTGCAATGCGAATCGGGTGGCAGACCAAGGCGGGAGCCTTGGCGGTCCAATCCCCGGACAAGAAAACTAGTTTTTGGGACATGGAACGTCACCTCGCTGGCGGGGAAGGAGCCGGAGCTTGTGGCAGAGGTTGAGCGGTACCGGCTAGATATAGTCGGACTCACCTCGACACATTGCAATGGCTCTGGAACCCGAGACCTGGAGAGGGGTTGGACACTCTACTTTGCTGGAGTTGCTCCGGGTGAGAGGCGGAGGGCTGGGGTTGGCTTTTTGTTAGCCCCGAGACTCTCTGCCTGTGTGTTGGGGTTTACCCCGGGGGACAAGAGGGTAGCTTCCTTGCGCCTTCGGGTCGGGGAACGGGTCCTGACTGTTGTTTGTGCTTATGGGCCAAATATAAGTTCAGAGTACCCACCCTTTTTGGAGTCCCTGGGACGAGTGCTAGATAGTGCTCCATCAGGGGACTCCATTGTCCTGCCGGGGGACTTCAATGCTCACGTGGGCAATGACAGCTTGACCTGGAGGGGTGTGATTGGGAGGAACGGCCCACCTAATCAGAACTCGAGCGGTGTTTTGTTATTGGACTTCTGTGCAAGCCGCAGTTTGGCCATAACGAACACCATGTTCGAACATAAGGATGCCCACCGGTACACTTGGTACCAGGGCAGCCTAGGTCACAGGTCGATGATAGATTTTGTAGTCGTATCATCTGACCTGCGGCCGTATGTTTTGGACACCCGAGTGAAGAGAGGGGCGGAGCTGTCAACTGATCACCACCTGGTGGTGAGTTGGATCAGATGGCAAGGGAACATGCCGTGTAGACTTGGCAGACCCAAACGCATAGTGAGGGTCTGCTGGGAACGCCTGGCAGAAGAACCTGTCAAGACGGTCTTCAACTCCCACCTCCGGCAGAGCTTTGACCACGTCCCGAGAGCAGTGGGGGACATTGAGTCCGAGTGGGCCTTGTTCCACTCTGCGATTGTCGAGGCGGCTGTTGCTAGCTGTGGTCCTAAGGTGGCCGGTGCCAGTCGTGGTGGCAACCCCCGTACCCGCTGGTGGACACCAGAGGTTCGGGGAGCCGTCAGGCTGAAGAAGGAGGCCTACAGGGCGTGGCTGGTCTGTGGGTCTCCGGAGGCAGCAGACAGGTACCGGATAGCCAAGCGGGGTGCAGCAGTGGCAGTTGCCGAGGCAAAATCTCAGGCGTGGGAGGAGTTTGGTGAGGCCATGGAGAAAGACTATCGATCGGCTCCAAAGAGGTTCTGGCAAACTGTCCGGCGCCTCAGGAGAGGAAGGCAGCAACTCGCTCACACTGTTTACAGTGGGGATGGGGAGCTGCTGACGTCAACTGAGGCTATAGTCGGACGGTGGAAGGAATACTTTGAGGAGCTCCTCAATCCCACCAATGCGCATTCCGAGGAGGAACCAGAGCTGGGAGGCCTGGGGATGGACTGTCCGATCTCGGGGGCAGAAGTTGCTGAGGTAGTCAAACAACTACACAGCGGCGGAGCCCCGGGGGCGGATGAGGTTCGTCCTGGGTATCTCAAGGCTATGGATGTTGTAGGGCTGTCATGGTTGACACGTCTCTACAACATTGCATGGTCATCGGGGGCAGTTCCTAGGGAGTGGCAGACCGGGGTGGTGGTCCCCATCTTTAAGAAGGGTGACCTGAGGGTGTGTTCCAACTATAGGGGGATCACACTCCTCCGCCTCCCTGGAAAGGTCTACTCCAAGGTACTGGAGAGGAGGGTCCGATCGATAGTTGAATCTCAGATAGAGGAGGAGCAATGTGGTTTTCGTCCTGGCCGTGGAACTGTGGACCAGCTCTATACCCTTGCAAGGGTGATGGAGGGGGCATGGGAGTTTGCCCAACCAATCCACATGTGCTTTGTGGATTTGGAGAAGGCTTATGACCGTGTCCCCAGGGGCACCCTGTGGGGGACGCTCCAGGAGTATGGGGTGGGTGGCTTTCTGTTAAGGGCCATTCAGTCCCTTTACCAGAGGAGCGTGAGTTTGGTCCGCATAGCCGGTAGTAAGTCGGACCTGTTCCCAGTGAGGGTTGGACTCCGCCAGGGCTGCCCTTTGTCACCGGTTCTGTTCATCACTTTTATGGACAGAATTTCTAGACGCAGCCATGGTGTGGAGTGTGTCGAGTTTGGTGGCAGGAGAATCTCGTCTCTGCTTTTTGCGGATGATGTGGTCCTCCTAGCTTCATCCAGCTCTGACCTTCAGCTCTTGCTGGGTAGGTTCGCGGCCGAATGTGAAGCGGCTGGGATGAGGATCAGCACCTCCAAATCTGAGACCATGGTTCTCGACCGGAAAAGGGTGGCTTGCCACCTCCGGGTCGGGGGAGAAGTCCTACCTCAAGTGGAGGAGTTTAAGTATCTCGGGGTCTTGTTCACGAGTGAGGGTAGGAGGGATCGGGAGATCGACAGGCGGATTGGTTTGGCGTCTGCAGTGATGCGGACGCTGAGCCGATCTGTCGTGGGGAAGAGGGAGCTGAGCCAGAAAGCCAGGCTCTCGATTTACTGGTCGATCTACGTCCCAATCCTCACCTATGGTCATGAGCTTTGGGTAATGACCGAAAGAACGAGATCGCGGATACAAGCGGCCGAAATGAGTTTCCTCCGTAGGGTGGCCGGGCTCAGCCTTATAGATAGGGTGAGGAGCTCGGACATTCGGGAGGGACTCGGAGTAGAACCGCTGCTCCTCCGGATCGAAAGGAGCCAGTTGAGGTGGTTTGGGCATCTGGCCAGGATGCCTCCTGGACGCCTCCCCGGGGAGGTGTTTCGGGCATGTCCTGCCGGCAGAAGGCCCCCGGGTCGACCCAGGACACGTTGGAGAGGTTACATCTCCAATCTGGTCCGGGAACACCTTGGGGTCCTGCCGGAGGAGCTGGTGGACAAGGCCGGGGAGAGGACGGCCTGGAGCTCCCTAGTTAGGATGCTGCCCCCGCGACCCGGATAAGCGGAGGACGACGACGACGAAAACAAGGCAACGCCATTTTAAGCTCAATTCCATTTTGACTTCAGTTCTATTCACCGTCATCCTAAAGAAAAGCACAGCCTGGCCAGATGTGTTTTCTTCTTTAAACTAAGAACTGTGAAGTTGGAGATTTTCGTTGTTTAACAACCAGACGACATCCTTTCAAAATAAGAGCACCTGCTGACGCTGCCGATTGGTACCGGGGTCGACCCTTCAGACGGGCTTTGACGTGCTGCGACCGCTGCTCCGACAGCTCCAGTACACATCCGAGGTTCTTGGACCTGGCATTTCCTGATCTACCTGAGAGGCCCCCCACTGGGTACGTACACGGCAAAATAGCAGCTCATGTCATCACTTTATAAGCCACGTGATATCTAGTCATAACAAAGACGACCAGATTCAATGACGTCAGCCTAAGGAGTCTGAACCAACCACACACACACACACACACACACGCACCAACACAACATCCAAATCCATTTTCATCCATCACAGAGTTAGTCCTGGTAGATTGTTAAGAATTTATAATTAAGAAATTAAAGATTCTCAAACGATCCCAACTCTCTCTCTTTTCTTGTCTCAAAGTCAATACAGAGTGTTTAATTAAACTCCCTGATGATAAAAACAGCCCATCTTCTGATTATAACAAGTGATCTACTTACAGTGTATTAAAATACAACTCTAGATAGTTACATCACTCTATTCCGTTACATTAGAGAATGTGTAATATAACATTACCTTCATCCTTTTTCTCCATTAGTTTTGTTATTTATGTTGCATTAAAAAACTGAAGCGCCTGTGGTGTTCCACAGCTTTACTTTCATCAGTAACGCATTTTATCTTTGTGAGATCCATGTGAGTACTTTACTTTTAGTCAGGTACTGTATCTATATCTATATTACTGTATCTATAAACAAAATCAGACATACCACTGGACAGACTTTAAAGCTTCATCATTTCTCAACATGATGTGATCTGAGTTTAAGGCCCTGTCCACACGTAGCCGGGGATCTGCCAAAACGTAGATATTTTTCTACGTTTTGGCCTGTCATCCACACGAAAACGGAGTTTTTTTCACACGAAAACGGATCTTTTTAAAAACTCCGGCCAAAGAGAAGATCTGCGTTTTCTCCGTTTTGGGTGTCTGCGTGTGGACAGACAAAACCGGAGTTTTAAGGTCCGCAACGTCACTTTCCGCGACAAAAAAATGCTGACATCACGTGTGCGACCTGTTTTTACACTAGCCGACAGCATGGATGCCCTCAGAGCTGCGCTCGCTTTATCTACTGTCCAAGCGCTTTTTGCTTGTTTGTTTTTGCAAGCGGAATTACTGCTCCTTGCGGAAGACCACAGACGAAGGACGAGGTTAAGAACGGGGGAAGTACTGCCGCCTACAGGTCTGGCATGTCCTTAACAACGTATTTATCCGGGTACGTGTGGACAGAGTTTTTTTTTAAAACGAGGTGGTGTGGATGCAAGTTTTTGGAGGGGCGGATATTCATTTAAAAAAAAACGGCTACCCGTGGACTAGGCCTAAGACTGAAGTAGACTGAAGGTTTAGAACTGCTTGCATGCATTTCTATAATTTTCAAGATCTTGTATTGCTTTATATGAAAAAGACACACACACACACACACACACACACATATGATGTTTTGCAAATATACGATGATACCATTATTCTTCACTGAAATAATCATCTGTAAACTGTTCAGTTTCTAGAAAAGAAAAAACAACAAACAAGCTGTGAAACTGTAAATCGTGTCTGAGTTAAGGAATTTTGTTTTTTCCTGTTTTCTTTTGGAATAGAGCGTATAAACCTCTAGGCATAGCTGAAGCACACAAGCTAAGAGAAGTTTCAAACAGCTAAAGTGCAATGTGGTCAAGGGGCTCCTTAGAGCCTTGAGCTATGTATTGTTGACTCTGGTACGCACCTTCTCCAACTTTGATGTAGATGGCTCGAGTCATTCTGAGCTCAGAGAATGAAGTAACTGCCCCGTACTTTTCCTGGGCATATTTGAGGAGGTGCCCGTTGCCGCGAGGAAGGTTCTCCTGGACCTGGGTGAACAGTGAGGAGTTTCTCTGCTGAAAGTGGACCTCTGAGCCCTGTGATACCTAAAGGAAAAAAAGAGTCAGGTTAGGAGACAAAGGCGACTGTTTGACATATCAGGACTGTCTTGAGTTTGTTTCAGTTTTACGCACAACATTCAAGATCTTTCCTAAGGCGAGTCAAGACTCTAAAGGAAAAAGCCACTATTGTATTTGAAACTAATTCAACTCCCTTTTATACTCGTGCCTTTTGCTTTGCAGCAGCACACAACTGGGTCCCGTTCCAGAACACCGTCAAACTTACATTGTTGATCCCAATCTCTAAATTTACGCAGCCCATCCAAAATACAACTGTTGTTCCTGCTGACACTACTGAAAATACACATATATGCAATTTTACTTTTTTTATATATTTACTTCTTTTAATGTAAATGTTTGCTCTGTTTTATATGGTATGCATCATCTGTTTTACTTATTTATGCAGCCTGTTGGCCAGTAACTGAGAAGTGGTTCTCAAACAGTTCACCTGGATGAAGGTTGAAAAAAAACATTTGCTGTTATTGACATGCACACAATGCATAGTTTCATAGTAAAAAATAATAATAATAATAAACAGCTGACCAGTTTTCCATATTTAACCAAGCTTTTTTGACACTGGTGAAACTCATCCTCCATCACATCCCATCCATTATTGAAAAGTTTCCACAAATAGGCTCTGCATGTTTTTGTGCACGTCTCTGTACAGAGCCAGCTGGTTTCCAGTGTTTACACAGACACTGGCGTGGTTGAATGTCTTCACTAATGCATAGGTGTGCTTCAAAAGAACCACGGAGTAATGGGAAACCCAGAAATTCTCAGCAGAAACACAGACAGTCAGTAAACTGAAGGACCAGAAGGAGAACATATGCAACACCAAGCATTAACAACAATTATAATTAACTACATTATTTCTGAAGAAAATATAAAGGATGCCAAGGCAGCTACTGCTCAGTTAAATGCCACAGATGATTCAATGGTTTGACATTTTTAGGAAATGTAAACGACTATGTCTGATAACGTTTCACAAAGCGATTCGATTTATTGTTATTTGTTGTTGTTTTGAATAAAACTCCACTTGAAAAGCAAATCTCGAACACACTGTTGCTGTTAAAAACTCTAAGTATTATCAAAGCAATACTTGAAACCTGAGCAATGAGGATATGATGATTGCTATTGTAGGTTTTTGTTTGTTTACAGGGTTTTATGTAGGAAATGTGATGCATCAAAGTGTTTCCCAGTTTGAAGAGAAAAGTCAAAGCTGTCATTATTGAACTCGATTAAAACATGGCTATACATGTTCTGCAATATAAGTTGTACATCAGTGGCCGACATTGGGTAAAATGAGACAAAAATACCTAAATACTAGAGGTGCTGAAAAAAATCGATTAAAGTCTGAATCGGGATTCTTATTTATAAAGATTCAGAATCGATTCACAAAGGTTCAGAATCGATTCCAAGAACTCAAATATTTGGCACGTTACAGGTTTGAGATGCACTTTTTTGGTATTTGTTAGGAGAGTCAGTACTCTGATTACTTTTGTGGTCCCATAAATTGATTGATGATTGTTTGAATCTGCTGATAAGACGGCGCTTGAATGTAATTTTTTCCATACTGAGAAATTTGAGATATTCTCATGTTTATTTTCTAAGTTGATAAATGAGTACTCAGGTTTACTCATGTAACTTGTTTCTACACATACTTGAAAAGTATTTGACCGTATTACTTTCAAAGCTACTGTTAACTACAGATTTGTTATATTTTACAAGATAAGCAAAAATAAATGCTGCCTTTTGGTCAAAAGATTGCTTCTGTTTACAGTTTTAGAATCACTTTAGTTTACCTTGTAAATCTGCATTTTTGGAGCACGACCAGTTTAAAGTCAAATAAAAATGTCCCATAGCTTTAACTAACTTGTACAACAAAGTAGTTCATCCTGGAGCTGACACTCTTTGTGTCAGGTTGGATGGGCTGAGCTGAAGGGTAGCAGAGGTGATTGTAGCGTGGCTGTGTGACCCAGACGCGGAGTGACTGGCGTTTGGTCACAACAGGAACGCAGTTTGCTTTAGGAACGGCGAAACAGCAATCGCATGGAGTCGAGGCTGAGTCGGGGTTCTTTTTAGGTAGGAAGCTGTCGTGATGGAGTGCAGACAGCGTGGAAAGTTCTCTCTCCTGGATTGATTTAGGAATAGTTCGGTTGGGCTGGTTTGGCGTCTGTCATGAGACAATGACTGAATGACAGCTCAGCGGTGACAGTTCCCTAAATAGCTTCCGCGTGTCACGTCACCGAGTAACGTTAGTGGCGGGAATGCTGGGAAATGGAGTGCTGCGCCAACCCGGCCCGCAGAGGAGGTCAGGAGGAGGAAGAGTTCGTGACACTTTGTTAATACTGATTGTGAATCGATTTAAATTGAGAATCGAGAATCGATTCTGAATCGAATCGGCACCCCCAAGAATCGGAATCGAATCAAATCGTGAGCTGCTCTAAGATTCACATCCCTACTAAATACTAAAGCCTTTACTGTGATTGTGTACAAAACATTTAACGACATCAAAATACCAGCTCAGTCATGCAAAGTCCAGCTCTCTGTGACTCGCTGACGCTTTGAATGATGTGTAGTCTACCTGAGTAGTCGAGGTGGGTGGGCAGGGCTCGCTCACCTTTTTCACCAACATCCTTTTGTTGTCTGAAGGGAAACGTCTTGCTTTTTTTGTTATTGCAAGTTCTGTCTACATGATTTTGCAAATTATAACACGCAATTCCCAAGTGAATCTCATGTTTTGATGTGGTTTGCATTTTTTTTTTATGTTGCATTTTGAGAACCCAAAAATAAGAATGCTTCAATCAGTGTTATCAGCGTTGGCATCCTCAGTTAAAACTTAGGTGGAACCTCTGTTGGTACAATCTGTTGCCAAACCTATGTGCTCGGTTTTAGAAATAGACATTTCCACGTGTTGACAGACCACCTGATAACCAAATGACCCCAAGGGTATGGACAGTTCGTCTCCTTTCATTTCCATGCTAACTTTTAAATCTTACAGCATATTAAGTCTTTCTTCAACAGCTGAGTGTGCTGATAGGCCTTTTTGTCATGTTGTAATGAAGTGGCCTTTCAGATTTTGTCAGGTTTAAATAATCATATGGTAATCGCTCTCTGTAGTGTTCAAACGTTATAGCCAGGACTTTTCAAACCTTTATGGTCAACATCTGTCTGGCCTCTGGACCGCTTCTCCATGTTCCTGGCATTGTCACCAGAGGCTGTAAATACTCCAGACAGACCACTGAGGAATTTACGTTGGTTTTATTTTTAGTGTGTTTACTACAACGAGAAGCAACAGAAAGAAAAATAAATAAAAACAAAAACAGAGGAGAGGAGAGGAGAGGAGAGGAGTGGTGCCCTATGAGCCTTGAAGAAGGAGGGGTAGGAGTAGCTATACTTTTCTTGCCAAGCTCAGCAGAGTTTATCAGTTTAATTGCAGGAATGCGACCATAATGAGTCGCAACGAATTACAGGGAAAAGCCTGAAAGTCAAATTAGCTCCAGGCTTTTCATAGAGCTGAAAACCTCAGGAATCTCAAACGGCGAAGTGAGGGACCCACTCTGAGCTTTAACAAACTCTCTCTACGGGCTTCCTGACTCGACCCGGCCGACAGATGCTGGAAACCAAAAGGCAGTTTTTTTCCACTTGCTCCGTCAGAAAATCTAAATACAGTTACACGTATCTGATTATCATTTAAACGAGTTGGGGTTCAAAGGCAAACTTATGTAACAAGTGTATCTAGACCATTACTAACAGCAATGCTCTCTGGGGCATTTTAATGACCCAAAGCCATGATTTTGCAGTTAAGCATAATTGATATAAAATCACATTTGTGTTTCTTTCATCTTTTTTGTGAGTGTGTTTGTGTATTTGACAGCCACCTTTGTCCAAAGTGACTTAGAAGTAAGGATGTGACCATGCAGGTTCTATTGAGGAATGTTTACTTTGTAACGTGGTTTGAGGTGACTCTTGTGATTTGGCGCTATATAAATAAACTGAATTAAACTGAAACGCTAAAATTGCAGCAACTATTTTCAGAGATACATATGAATACCAGGGATGTGTATTTTTGAAATTCTGGCGATACGATACACATCACGATACAGGGGAGACGATACGATAAATCACGATATATTGCGATACATTCAGTCAGACATTACAATTTATTTTACTGAATTTATTGTAAGAAAGTTCAGTAAACAGTCCAAACTGATACGTAACATGGTTAACATGAGGTATCTGAACCATGAGGGAGGGATTTACATTTCAATGGTGGAAACAAAACCCGTTGCACACTGCTGCCAACTAGCGGGTGGCGATTGAATTGCACAAAACGAAAAGAAAATACACAAACGTTTGCATGTAAATTCTTTCAAGAATTAGATACACGGCTTTTGAATATCAATGTAATAATTACAGGGAAAAAATCACGATATATTGCCATAATCGATATTTCCGATACACAGCTTTTGAATATCGATATAATATTGCTGGGGAAAATATCGATATATTGCCATATCGATATTTTCTTACATCCCTAATGAATACCTATTTCAATTTACGTTTAAAATGCCTTTTCCAATCAGATTTAAAACATTACAATGGAGAGAAGAACACTCCAAACAGTTCTGTAATAGACACCATGCCAACTATTTTAGTCTGAAGGCAATCTGCACAAGGCTTACAAAAACTACAGAATGAACCAAGGGACCTGTACCAAAGTCAACATCAGCTAGCATGTTAAGTGTTAAAATTAATGACAGGACAAATAAAAGGAGGGTCAGCAAATATTTTACTGTAAAATGTGAGGAAATCCATCCCAAAGCTGAAGCCTGGTTTATGAAAAGGACGAAGATCTCAAAAATGTAATGATTGAAGCGGCAGGACCAAGCTGTTAAAAAAACAGTGCTGACAAATAAGTTAACTTACCTTTACAGCAAAGTAATATAATATTATCTTTAAACGGTCTCAAGTATTTTTATTGATTG